TTTGAAGATCTGAGATGCTGCAAATGATGAAACTCATTTTGACTGTAAACTCTGCCGGCACCAACCACTAAATCCTGACATGTTTCCCCCAATGTATTCTGGCTTCATCAGGGAAAACGTTGCTGGTGATCACTGATCTCTGCCACCATGGCAAAATGAAATCCCAACAAATGGGCGTGTACTTAAATGTCAGTTGTGCCGATCTGCTGGACGTTTCCAGTCTCACCTCTCACCTTGTCTGCGTGGCCTACAAGGACTCCTATGAAGGACGCTGCTGGTGGCAGGAGCACCCATCCCCCACTGCAGACTGTTCCTTAGCAAAGCCTTCTCCTTCATTATCTCTTAAGCATCCCCTTCGTTCCTCCACCCCTGCGCCCTCCTCTTTATGACCCCCCCCAAGCTTGGCTCCCAGTCCACCCGCAAGTTCTGTGGCTCAGTCTGCCCAATTCTCAGACCAGCCTTCCTTGACGTCAAGGTGCACCCTCACCTTCCGGTTTTGTGAACGCTTTAACATTTTGCATTGAAGGTGCCGGAGGTGGTACTCGGGGGGGGGGGATACAAGATGGAGGTCTGTTCAATGTGCCCTCCATTGAGCCCTCTCAGGTCTTCTGGACCAAGAGGTCAATGCCCCAGTTCTTAAGGAACAACAGCCCCAGGGGTTTTACTCCACTCTTTTCACCGGTCCCTAACCCTTAGGCCCCGTTCACATTGAGCGATTTTATCGCGTGGTAATTCCTGCGATATCGCTCTTCAATGGGGCAAAGGGTCGTGCGTCGCTACAGCAGGACCCTTTTTGGAGCGGATTTTGCCGCGATTCTCGCTTGCTCAATGCAAGCATTTGCGCGATATCGTGCAAAATGCGAATCGCGTAGTGTGAATGTGGCCCAAGGGGGGCATCTGCCCCGTCTTTCCTCTCAAACCTCTGACTGTCTTCAATCAAGCCCAGATGTTCGGCTTGGAATCCTCCAGGTCTGTTCTCTCCTCCCTTCACCAGGAAGACATTCTGGCTTCTGTGGACCTCAAGAACGTCTACCAGAAGTTACCATTGCCCCAGGGCGTCATGGCTTCCTATGTTTTGCTGTGGGGCCCCTACACTACCAGTTTGGCCTTTTTCATCTGAACCTCCAGATAGTCACCAGCGTGCTGATGCCGGTATTGGTCCTATTTGCTCTCGAGTGGCATCTCCAGTGTGTGACGCTTGGGAACCTCTCAAAGTCGAGTCACTTGACTTTCAGAGGTATGCTTTGTCCCCACCATCAGCCACACAGCAATGGAATTGGGGTAACACCTGTCACCGCGTTCTTCTCAAGGATCGTGTTAAGCTTTAAAGGAGAACTATGGGGTCAGTGTTTCCCCCCCATAGTTCTCCTTAGGGTAACCGGAGGACACAAACTAGCGTCCTCCCGTCACCCTAAGCTCAGTATATAGGGAGCTACAGCTCGCCGAGAGCGGGAAGCAGTAGGCTTGCTCCAGCCTGTGGCCCTTCGCTTCTCTGGGGAGGGCATGATACCATTGCGAGACCCCAAACTGACCATGGCTGTAATAGAGGTTCCTGGGGCATATAAGGAGCGGTGAGGCGATGTGACGTCCACCCAAATACATCAGCAAAGCGTCTTTAATCCAGAATAAAACATAAACGCGCGTACTGTATGGAAGCAATTGAATGGTAGAAATATACTCGGCGATCTCTAGATAAACCTACTCAGTCTAATCAGACGCCTCTCCAGATAACAGAGTTTACTGTACACCCCCCCCGTATGGTAAACGACGGATGGATTCTTGTAATGCAGACTACACACCTATCAAGCAATACAATCCGGTCCAGGGTCTGCCACTGATTGGCCAGTGAAGGAGAAGCAGGACACCCAATGATGTGTCTCTACTCCTGTCAGCATCTTCAGACAGCACCCCCCCCAGTCTGAGTGCTGCTGTAAATGAGCTTGCAGGTAGCTAATAGAAGACAGATCCAGGTACTTGTATTCCATGCAGACAATGTTTTATTGAAGCTTTGGTTGTGGATCGGAGAGTCTCTATAATACTATTTCCTGTTCCAGGTGCGTTTATTTTGGGTCCATTTTTTTCGGTCTTCAGTTTAGAAAATAAACCAAAACTGCGAGAAGAACGACGGCTGCGGCCGCAACAATCCCTGAAATAAAGCAAAAACAATCGAATCATCTGACTGCCACTAATACACTTCCTGTCCGAAGGTGACAACACTCGCTCACTGTACTACATCTATGGTGTCACCTTAGGACAGGAAGTGTGTTAGGACTACACACTAGAACAGGGGTAGCAAACCTCCAGCTGTGGGTGGAACTACAAATCCCATGAGGCATTGCAAGATTCTCACAGCCACGACTCCCGGAGAGAGATGCATCATGGGATTTGTAGTTTCACCGCAGCCGGAGGTTTGCTACTCCTGAACTAGAACATTAGGGGAGGTGTTTTGTAGTAACATTATTTGACAACGCTCGCTCACTGTACTGTTGCAGCATTGCCGCCCTACGACAGTACTATAGACCACCAACCTTTTTTTTTTTTGTAGCACAGGGGGAGGTGATCAGTAGTCCACTGAGAGAACTGGGAACAATTTCACTGATCACTTCCTGTGCTGATTTATCAAAACTTTCTGGCGGGATCAGCAGATATTTTCTGCACTCATGGAACAGATACACAGAATATAAAACATTGGACGTGTTTCCTTCCCGCAGATCAACGGGGAACACAAGTAATTCTTAAAGTGACAGACCGGGGCTAGCCGCAGTTCAAAAAGACAAACGGATCAACAATATGAAGAAGCCGACATGTTTCACTCACTTCCTCCCTCCATCAGGGCTTCAAGTGACACTTAAAAGAGAACTATGAGGGGGGAGGGGCTTTCCACTCACCTCATAGTTCTAGCCGACCTGTGACAATGAGACTGTCACAGGTCGGCTCAGTAGATCGGGAGGTGAGCGAACACATACCGGCGTTCGCTCACCTCTCGATCCTCTCACGGCTCTCTGCCGTGACAGGGGAGGGGCTGGGTTCCCCTCTCCCCGCTCCGATCTGCCAGCGCTGACGGGGGAGGGTACAGCTGGCTCTGCCTCTAGATAGGCGGAGCCAGCTGTCACTCACGCAGCTGGGCGGATCTCGACATCGATGTCGGGATCCGCTCCGGCTGCGGCGTCTCAGTATACCGCGAGCTGTAGCTCCCTATATACTGAGCCTAGGGTGACGGGAGGACGCTAGTTTGTGTCCCCCCGTTACCCTAAGGAGAACTATGGGGGGGAAAAGCCCTGACCCCGTAGTTCTCCTTTAAATCCTGAATTGAATCTTAAAAATCCCTCCGAGTCCCCGAACTCTGAGCAACAATGTATCTTATTTGTGTGTCACTCGGCTGGAGATCCTTCAATCATCTCTGACACTGTCCTTCCTCCTGGAGGGTGACTACGTCTGTTCCCCATGGTCCCTGTGTGTGTTGTAAAGTAGTCACTGCTCCAGTTTAGCTTACTGAATTGTATTGAGATTGTAGTCCATCCCGGGGGGCGGAGCTTGGAGCGGTGACTACTCTACAACACACACAGGGACCATGGGGAACAGACGTAGCCTCCCCCTCCAGAAGGAAGGACAGTGTCAGAGATGATTGGAGGATCAAATAAGATACATTGTTGCTCTGAGTTCAGGGACTCGGAGGGATTTAATTCCGGGGTTTAGTGTCACTTGAAGCCCTGATGGAGGGAGGAAGGGAGTGAAACATGTCGGCTTCTTCATATTGTTGATCAGTGAATGTCTTTGTGGCACCTGTGCTGTGTTTTTACATATCCGGATATTTCTCCGTTCGGATTTTGTGGGAGCGGCCTCTCCGAGGAGGAGGATGGACATTACTAATAGATTTGGTGCCGGTGATGTGTGAACTCTCAGAAGTCATGTGACTGGAATCTGGTAGAACCGTTTCCTGTGAACCCCCGAAGAAAGATCTCCCCGCTCGCGGGGGTTCCGGTGATGGCGGCCACATCCCTATAGTACAGGGGCAGCCAAACTCCGGCCCTCCAGCTGTTGGTGGAACTACAAATCCCATGAGGCATTGCGAGATTCTCACAGCCACGACTCCCAGAGACAGATGCATGATGGGATTTGTAGTTACACCCCCAGCATTGCCTACCCCTGCCCTAGTATATAGAAAACTACAGCCCGGTGGTTTCCATCTCCTTCAGTACAATATGCGTTGTGGGCGGAGCGACTCCTTTAAAGACACGGTAACACATTGACCTCTCACCTGTAAGAGTCGACGGCGATGTGACCTCCATGCTTGCGGCACGTTTCTCGCTTGTCGGGTCGTTCGATTGAACAGATTTTCCGTCAACTGGAAACAAAAAGAAAATTTAGATCTCGAAATGTAACACCGACCGGAGCCGCCGGAGCCCGGGGACACAAGGTCACGAAGCCGGGGGATCAACATGACAGCCAGGCAACCCCACAGCTTCGGCAGGAGGCCAGGATATCTTTTGTTACGTCTGGTTTCAGCTAAAGCAGACTGGCTCCGCCCCTTGCCAGGGTCATGTGACAAAAGGCAGTGAAGGTCGAGTTCACTTGAAGGCGGGCCCCTGATCTCCCGACCGCTGGCAGGGGAGGGGCCACATGACCAAAGGAGGGGCTTTGCGGGACCGTAAGCAGGAAGTGAGGAGTAAGGCAACTTCCTGTCTATTATTCCCCCCCCCCCCTTAGACCAGGGGTAGGCTCTCCAGCTGTGCTGAAACTACAAATCCCATAAGGCATTGCAAGCCACAGGCATGACTCCCGGAGGCAGAAGCATGATGGGATTTGTAGTTTCAGCACAGCTGGAGAGCCTACCCCTGCCCTAGACCAGGCATGTCCATATGCTGCTCCCCCGCTGGCCCCCCTTCTCTGGGGCCCTCGGGGGTTCTACAGTTGAGAAGTTACAATTCCAACATTGCAGCCCGATGCTTTAGGGAAGGGGAAAGCAAACGCTGGCCCTCTAGATGTGGTAAAACTATAAATCCCACCATGCCTGTGGATAATGGGAGTTGTAGTTGCACCACAGCTAGAGGGATGGAGTTTGCCTGCCCATGTTATAGGGAATGTTATTGGGGCCCCCTTTTACTTTAACCAATTTCTCTCTCGCTCTGCTCTCTCCTCCTATCAGCATGCTCCTTGCCCTGCAGAGCAACTGACTGGCTTCTTGTGCTGCTTCTCCCTCTCCCAGTCTGGGCTCTGCTGTACAGGGTTTCCTCACATACCGGAACTGGCGATCGTCGTCTTCTCCTCCGCAAACTCCAAGTCGTCGTAATTCACGTCCTGGTCCAACATCTCCAGGAGGCGGCTCCGCACCTCCTCTCCGGTCTCCTCTCCCATGACGTAATCGCACAGCGCCGCGCCGGAGCCGGGAATGGGAACGAACACGCGCTGGGGGAGGGGAAGCGGACGCTGCGACTTCTCAGCTTCTGGGAGGGTTTTTTGGAAAATGGTCAAAACAT